TTTTTTTTTTTTTTTTCCTTTTCCCCCCTTCTTCCCTCCCTTCCCCCCCCTCCCCCCCCAATATTTAATAGTGCCGGCAGTGGCCGTCTGTTCTCAGGCGTGGTAATTGATACCAAATAAAATGCATTATTTGTATTCAGTCAGGAGGATGAAATTGCATTCAGCGGGCTGAAGCCTGAACTCATTTACAGTTTCCCGAAGCCCGGGCTTTCAGGAGCCCTCTTTTCAATTTGAAGAATACCTTGTCAGGCAAGGGAAGGAGCGGGGAATGGGAGAGCGCGGCGTGCGAGCCCCGGCGCCTTCTGATTGCTCATATTTTAAACCAGGGGAACGTTAAATAACTCCCATCTTCAGAGGGTGGCCTGGGAAGCCATGGGCAGGGACACCTTCCACTAGCCCAGGGTGCTCCAAGCCCCGTCCAGCCTGGCCTTGGACACTTCCAGGGATCCAGGGGCAGCCACAGCTTCTCTGCCAGGGCCTCAGCACCGATGAAGACGTCGATTAGCACTGGTCCCAGTAGGGATGCCCAAGGACATCACTGATCACTGACGTCCTTCAGGGCTCTGAGAAACTGTGTTAGGTGTGAGCAAACCTCCCTGGCTGGTGTGCTCTGCTCTCTCTCCCCGTGATGTTCAGGTATTTTGTGGATTTTCACAAGCAGGTGGAAATCAGTGAGATGCCTTTTGGTGCCCCGTGGCAGACCTTGGTGCCACAGCCAGGTCTCTTCCTCACCAGCCTTGACTCAGCACAGGAATTTTCACATCATTGCTGCAAAGAAGGGGGTTTTGTTGGGGGGGGGGGGGTGTTCTCCTTTTTAATTATCAACATAGGAAACCTTCAGAATCAAGCTGGAGGTCAGTATTTAGGACTAGAAGTAACACCCAGTTGCATCCATGGTCATGCTGGCATCCTCTCCTGCATCACCTCTTCCTTCAGCATCAAGGTGCCAGAGTTTGCATTGGCATGGAGACAGCAAACCCTCCAGGAGGGCCATCTGTGGGTCACCATTTATGGGTCAAACCCTTAAAATCTCCTGTACAAGTACACAGTAAATACATTCCCATGGTTCCCTTTTGGAGTTGAATACCTGAGGGCTGGTTTGAATCTAGTGGATGTAGGGAAAAGAATAAATATCCTTAATAAAAGGATTAATGTTTGATTTGGTCTCTCTTGCCAGGCAATTAGCTACATAATTTATCCCCCACTAATAACTTACAGCACAACTGTGCTTAGGGGGTAATTAGTAAATAAACTTTATTATGAGAGTGGAAAAAAAAAAAAAGCAAATAAGTTGGTTTTTATCAAATAGGCAGCTATGTGGGAATTTAACTGTACAAAAAAAAAAAAAAACCTAAAAGCTGCTTTTTAAATAGTCTGATACTTTGGTAACATATTAATTAAACTTAAGTCAAATGCTGATACTGCACAGTACTTAAGCAAGGTTCTGAAAATGGCTTCACTTTCCATGGTAGCAAACACTTTCCTTAAAGTGTAGCTTTTATGTGAAGTTTTGTAATTAAAATCACAACCAGACCAGTAATTAAACAAAAATCACATTACCAACCTTGGGGGAAAATCCTGGCTTAAGGTTGCTTGAGTATTTACTGTGTGAAAGGACCCAGTTGGAGAAATTTCAAGTACACCCTTAATTTCCTAAATTTGTGTTAAATTTGGCTGTTTGTGTCGTGATTGAAAACAAGAGCTACTCAAAGAGAAGTTAGTTGGTGTGTGACCACCCATTCCATGGGCCAGGGAAGAGACTGTGGTCTCTGCTCATGAGGGGGGGGGTATCATCTACCTTTAATTTTGATTAGGTCAAGTCAACTAACGGGTGGGCGAGGGGAGAAAATGACTCTCATTAAGTCTTAAAATGATTGGATTTGGGGCTACCAGAGCTAATACAGCAGGAAACTGAGCGCACTAAACGTGGGCTTGTTTTCTTTCCCTGGCAGCAGGTAGGAGGTGACCCTTTATCACAGTTCTCACCTGTACCAGGCGCACATTGCTTGCCCACCTTCATTGCCATCACCACCCTTTTTGGTGTGTCTGGTACTAATGACAGGAGGTACATCCGGAGGGTGTGGGGGTACATTCTGTATTAAAATGCCCAGGTGTTACGGGGGTTTAATTTGAGGATCAGGAAGATCTCTGTAAGGAAGAGCAATTGGAAGGAATAAGGAGCTTTCCCGTTGTTTTTGGGTTTTTTTTGTGCGTTCCAGCTGGGCTCCTTCGAAAATCGATGCCGAGTCATGTTGGTGGAGTAGGGCTTGAATCAGCACTTGAGCCACGTTGCTTTCCTGTACCGTTTTGAGAACGTAATGGGTTGTTGTTGGGAGCCTTTGGAAGCCACCGAGCTCGAGAACATAAGCAGACAGCGAGGGGGTCGTACCTTGGGCGGTAGCGATCCTTCGTCTCAATCACGCAGTGGTTTTTAGTTCCCTCTCCTTGTCTTCCCCCCCACCCCGCTGCAGATACGGGCCTGGGAGACTCTGTGTGCTCGAGCCCCAGCATCTCCAGTACGACGAGCCCCAAGCTGGACCCCCCCCCTTCCCCTCACGCCAACAGAAAGAAGCACCGGCGGAAGAAAAGCACAAGCAACTTCAAAGCCGACGGGATCTCGGGCACGGCCGAGGGTAAGTCTGCTCCCTGGGGCAGGGCTCAGCTCCCAGAACGCCGGTGCGAGGGGTGCTTGTTCCCTCAGCCCCACCGTCGGCTCCGATTCCGCCAGGGAATTGTGCTGCCGCGGTGGGGAAATTAAAGACCCGGCTTTTCAACGGCGGAGCTGAATCGCCTCGAGGCATCACAATGGCGAATTCAGCTGCCTTGAAACGTGTTTGGGAAGGGCTTTTTTTTAATAAATAAGAGTCCCCAAGGTAAAGTGGAGCATCATTAGGTGTAAAGGTAAGGAAGAGGCAAACTTGGAAGGTTAACAAGGAAGAAAAATTCGGGTTCACTCCGTAGATCGCGTTAGAACTTGCTGTATTTTTTTTTCAGTATTATTAAGTCTTGTGTTATCACATCTCCTTAGGCACATCCTGAGCTCTAGAATCACCAACACTTCTGATGCCTCTTATTGTCTGAATATTCAGCTGCTCGTGGAAAGCTTGTGTTATTTGAGGATAAAAGGGAAAAGGGGAGAGTTTAAATGTTTGGGTTCTTTTTTTTTTTTTTTTTTTTTTCAGAGCCAGAAAGCAAAAGGCAGAAAGAACTTCCTTTTTTTTCCCTTAGTTTAGCTTACTGTTTCCAACGTGAACACTGCTCTAGCTGTTCAATGCCCTTCTGAAGGGGTAACAATGTGTACAGGAGCCAGGTATGATATAAAACATGCTTGTAGCTTTAGAAAAGAAGAAAAGAGACATGCCAGGATTCAACCAAAAGAGCTCCAGAAAAAAAAAAAAGGATGAACAAGGGTGGTTGGAAGGCTCAGAAACTGGGGAGTCAACACACATAAGGAGAGATGAAAAAGGGAGACAATGGAATAACATTGTGGGAAAAGGGGAGTGTTGAGTAAGAAAAAGATGTGGTTGTAAGCATGGGAGAGTAAAAAACAGCTAATTCAGTATCAAAGAGGGTTGGAACAAGTTCTGAAAAAAAGATGACAATTGCAGACAGCTGAAGAGACATTAAAAATAGATGTGATAATAGTATACAACTGAGAAGGGGCATGATAACTACTACTTAGTCATCCTTATTTTCCATTTATTTAATTTCTCAATTGCACTTCTCTCACATCCGGAATTTATTTCCCCAGCTATCTATACAAATCCTTTTTTAAAAAGCCATCAGCTTTTTTTCACAACAGCCCCTGTTGTGTTCTCTTTCCAGTCATTTAACTATCTTTGCTGTTAGTTTCCCCCTAGTTTATGGCCTGAAGCCAAATTTTAGTTCAACCTTTCATTTTTAATTTGCCTTTTTTTTTTTTTTTTTTAAACAAGCCCTTTTACACCACTTATTTTCATACCTCAATGGCAAGTTACAGAGGGGATTTTTCAGAGCAGTCACCATTGGTCCAAGACTATTTTGTTGAAGTCGATGTGAATCAAGACCAGCTGGATATCAAGAGCCTTTGAAAACCTCTTTCTAAGTAGTTAATAGGTGTATGTATTCTTTCTCCTGGGGAGATTATTTTCACAAGTCGCTGGAGCCTGTGTGGTCCTGGGCTGTAGGGGGGGGTCTGCAGTTGGGAATCTTGTCCCTGATGTCCCTGTTCTGACTGGAGTGGCGAGTACATCCCTCATCCTCCTCTGTTTGCCCTTCCTCTTCTCCCTGTCTTCCAGCATCACTCCATGTTAGTCTGAAATCCTTCTGCCATAACTCGACAAAATGGTCCCCTCTCGTAGGAGTGGGATAAATGTGCTTCCAGAAGGGCTGACAGGCAGCAACTAAGTAAGACACGGGGAGCCTTAAAAGTGGTAGAATCATTTAGGTTGGAAAAGCCCCTCTAACCATTCCCCCAGCACTGCCAAGTCACTAAACTGTGTCCCCAGATGTCACATCTGCAGGTCTTTTAAATCCCTCCAGGGATGGGAACTCCACCGCTTCCCTGGGCGGCCCCTTCCAGTGCCTGACCACCCTTTCCAGGGAGAAATTCCTCCTGATGTCCAACCTGACCCTCCCCTGGCACAGCTTGAGGCCATTTCCTCTCCTCCTGTCCCGCAGTGTTCTGGGCATCTCCTTCAGCACGCAGCTCATCTCAGTGGTCCTTGAGTGCTTAGGGAGGCTGGGCGTCTCACAGAGAGGGATGGTGGCTGTAGATTCCCAGAAAGTAACGCTCCAGCAAGGCTCACAAAGCCTGGGGGGTTGCCCTTTCCAAACCCTGGCACGTGGGCACTCGGCAGCCTTTGTGTTTTCTGGGATTTGTGTTGGCGCGAGCAGGAATCACAGAGCCTTTGGGGTTGGAAAAGCCCTCTGAGATCTTCAAGTCCACTGTTAGCTCAGCCCTGCCAAGGCCACCACAAGCCTAGGAAGGTAAATTTGGTATGTTTGTGGTTGTCCAGACACTGTTCATACCCCTGAGTCAGGTTGGATCTCAGGGAAAGGTTCTTCCCCCAGAGGGTGGTTGGCACTGAACAGGCTCCCCAGGGCAGTGGGCACAGCCCCAAGGCTGCCAGAGCTCAAGGAGTGTTTGGACAACACCCTCAGGGATTGGGTGGGATTGTTGGGTGTCCTAGGCAGTGCCAGGGATTGGACTGGATGGTCCTTGTGTGTCCCTTCCAGCTCAGGATATTCTATGATTTTCACATCTGTCTTGTACTCCAAAGCAGTTTTCAGTTCAGAAGTTCAGCCTTTCCTCAGGAAAAGGAGGAAACTAATTCCCTTAGTTCCCCAGCGTGCAGCTACAAATCTGTCCAGTGACCTAAAAGATTCCCTTTTGGATTTTTTTCTTCCCCCACGCTCGGCCTCGAGCGTAGATTTCAACCCTGGAGGAGGTTTTGAAGAGCGCAAATCCAAATTAAGCAGTCAGAGATGTCTCTGGGAGATGCACGTTTTGCTTTGGTGACTTTGAGATGCAGCAGGTGACTTGGAAATGGTGCTGAAGATGGGCTCTAGGAGATAATCGTGGGAGAACCGTGTCTTCCTTCCTTCTGGAATTGCTGAGCTCGGCGCACAGAGAGGAGGAGGATCCTCCTGCAGCCGCTGTTCTCAGGCAGGTGCAACGGCTCAGAGTTGAGTGGTGGGGGTAATTCTAGATTTTTGTGTTGCCTTCCTCTGGCTCCGGGCGCGTTTCAAGTGTCAGCTTTCAAGCAGGAATTCTGGGTTCCTTCATTTTTGTCTGTACCAAAGCTGAGGTGGTTCAATGAGGTTTAAATCTGGTCCTCGGCAAACTCGAGCATTTTTACTGCACTTTGCAGTCTTTTTTTCCTCCTCCTTGAACGTGCCTGCTTTGATCGTTGACCTCTGCCCAAGTATTCAGATATCACGATGATGGACACTGAGCTCGGGGTGATTCACCAATTCCAAGGACTGATGCTCATCCCTTTTATGCCCTTCCATAAAGGTCATGCTGATTCTTCTTTCTCCACACTATCTGCACATGCACAGCCCTCTCTTTCTGGGATGGACTCTTTCATCTCACTTGGTTTGTCTTTCTGCAGGTTTTCTTAGGCAACGGTCACAGCAACAAAAATACTAAAGCAACTCTGCTGCAGTTGGATGAAAATTAAAATTCAGTTCCTATATTGGAAAATCAGATTCTTGTGGATTTTTTTATTTTTTTTTTTTTCCAGCGCAGTGAAACCCAGGGAGAAGTTTTTTTAGTTCTCTGTACAGAACTTGTCACTGACAAAAGTCCCTCGGTGTTTTTGAGGGTAACAGCAGGAATGCTTACATTAGGCAAGGTGCCAGCAACCAGCAGGGTTTTTTTCCCACCATGCTGCCTAAACTTGCTCGGAGCAGGATTAGACAGTGCTATGTTTCAAAGAGGAATAGCTGCTCAGAGCCTGATCTGTTTTGGTACCCTTGTGCTGCTGCAGTTACTGGAACAGCCAGGGGATAATAGGAGAGATTTTCAGCTTGAAAACAAGCAGAACAATTAAAAAAGCTTTCTTGGACAATGCTCTTCACAGAAAGACCTTTCCCAGTGTTTATTTGTCTTACTCTTACTAGTTCTAAAGCGTCATAGCTAAGCCACTTGTACCTGCCTTCCCTCCACCCATCACTGAGATTTTTAGGAGCTATGGAAAGCCCAAGGTGTGTGTGTCTTTTGATCCAGGTGGGTGGGAACATCCCCTCCTTCCCTCAGGGACAACACAGAACCCCAGGATGGTTTGGGCTGGGAGGGACCTTAAAGCTCATCCAGTCCCACTTCCCTGCCATGGGCAGGGACACCTTCCACCAGCCCAGGTTGCTCCAAGCCCCGTCCAACCTGGCCTTGGACACTTCCAGGGATCCAGGGGCAGCCACAGCTTCTCTGGGCAAACCTGTGCCAGGGCCTGCCCACCCTCACAGGGAGGGATTTCTGTCCTCTCTCAGCACCACGGGCAGAGCATCCCCAGCTCCGTGTTCCCAGGTGACAGAATAGTAAATGTCACCAGCAACTTTCCAAACCCCGTGTTTTCTCTGAAATCCACGTTCTTCTCCATCACTTGTTTCCAAAGGACTTTTGAAGGACCTTTTTTGATTCTTTTTTAGAACGAAGGTGTTTTTCTCTGCCCCTTGTGAAGTACTTGCCTTTCCTGGTGCTTTGCTGCTCTGCAGTCTCTCCCCAACTCCAAGTTTACACTTTTTCAGCTCAGGATGAACCCCAGTTTACTGAGAAAATCTTTTTTTATTATTATTATCATTATTTTCCTGAGGTGAACTGGTAAAGGTTGATTGTCACATATGTATTTTATAAGGCTGAGGCCGTTCAGTCTCAGGGAGCAATGAAGGTGAGCCCTGGTTAAGTGTGAAATTAAAAATATGTTTGTTTGTTTGTTTGTTTTCTGTGGGTGGAAGAACAGAAAATTCTCATTTTAGCCATAAGCAGAAGCATCCCTGCTTTCGTCTGGTTTGTCACTGTGTCCCTTCCAGCCCTCCCAAAACCAGAAGGACGAGGTGAATTAGAAAACGCAGTTAGTCCTGCCTGTAACAGAGAAATTTGGCAATTCTAAATGAATGAATCAGAAGCAGTATAACTGAAATGCAGCACAGG